AAACCCGGAAGGCCGGCACTGCAGCCTGATTTCGGAGAACTCAGAGAAAAGTCAAGCAGAGAGGAGGTGGGAGGGGAAGGGAGAGTGGGGGTGTTGCAACTTCAGGACAGGAAGAGCCGGGGTGGAGGCGGGTGGAGGCGGGTGGAGGCGGGAGGAGGCGGGAGGAGGCGGGAGGAGGGGGGAGGTGGCGGGAGGAGGCGGGAGGAGGGGGGCCAAGGTGCCTTAACCTTTTGTACCCAGTGCGAGCGCGGGCGCCCGGATCCAGCTGCCCTGCCAAGTGCGCGGGTCTGACCACTCCCACCCAGACACCCAGGAGCGCCGGCCCCCTGCCCCCTCCCCCCATCGCCCGGCCTTTCCCAAATGAACCATAGTAGAAGGACTCGGGGCTTTGGAGTCAGATTCGCTGGGCTCCAGCTCAGGATTCTCTACTTTTTAGGTGGGTGGTGTTGGGCAAACTCGGATGCTGTGTTCCAGTTTGCAAAATGGAGAGCCGCTGTCTCGTGAGGTTGCCGGCAGGATTTCTTGACACCGGCAGGTAAGCGTCTGATGCCAGACAAGTCCTCAGTGTTCCTTAGAACCCCTTCCCCTTTCCCCAGAGCTCTCCACTGACACCGTAATCTCTCACTTTCTTAGGAATTTACGCCTCCAACCCAAACCTCAGAGTAAAGCCTAGCCCTGACTTGGGGCCCTGCCGCCCCGCACCTCCCTGCCCCACCCCCTCCGCCCCAGTTCTCATCCAGTCTTTGCTGGGCGATGCTCCCAACAGCGGATCCTGGCTCTGCCTCCAAACGATGGTGGGACCTCTCAAAAGACCTCGGTTTTGAAATGAGAGCGACAGTGCCTGGCCTGCCTTCGTGGGGAAGATGATGTCATGAGTCCTAATGAGATCACATCCGTGACAACGCTGTGGAATTACAGCTCTCTCCATCAGGTATTACTAGTATGTTCCCAGTGCCCCTTTCCCAAATATTCCGATACATCAATCCGAATTGCGCTCGGAGATCATCTACCGCAGCCCCGTTGTTTTATAATCGAGAAAACGGAGGCCCAGAGACACGCAGGTCACGTGCCCTGCAGAGCCAGCCCAGCCCCCAGACTCCTGACTTCAGACTAAGGGCCCATTTTGCTACGACACATAATTACCGCTTTCCATCAGTCCTTCTGAGTCAGACCCCCCAACCCGATTCTTCGGGTATTTTTTTAAAAATATTTATTTATTTTTGGCTGCATCGGGTCTTAGTTGCAGCACGCGGGATCTTTCGTTGGAGCGCATGGGCTTCTCTCTAGTTGTGGCGCACAGGCTCCAGAGCAGGTGGGCTCTGTAGTTGCAGCATGCGGGCTCTCTAGTTGAGATGTGGGGGTTCAGTAGTTGCACCAGGTGGGCCTAGTTCCCCAACCAGGGATGGAACCCACGTCCCCTGCATTGGAAGGCGGATTCTTAACCACTGGACCATCAGGGAAGTCCCTCTTTGGGTATTTTATGCCATGCTTATCTGTGCAGGACATCTCCCCAATGAATCCCACAACAAGGGTACAACATTCACCCAAATATTCTCTGGCCACAGTGACCTTCCCTAGACCCAGTCCAGGCCCCGGGTCCTCCAGCCGCTGACATTGCTGGAAATGCAGGGAGACCAGACAGGAGTGAGGTCCTAGGGCTTTGTGACTTGGAATCAGAGCTACTCACCCCTTTGCCTCTTGATCCACCAGCTGACTCCCCACGCTGCTATCCACCCTCCCTGGCCCTTTCCTGGTGCCCCTCTGTGATTCCAGGAACAGAGCTGTGGATGTGAACGGAGCTTGGACGCCCCCACTTCTGGCTGACTTCACTCCACCCCATCCTCCAGCTTCTGAGGAACAAGAGGGTTGAAGCTGGACTCACAGAGGAAGGAGGTCGCTTCCACCAACACACAGGGAGGCTCCAAGTACAGCACGCATGGACCCGAAGCAGAGCTCTTACAGAAGCAGAGTCACTGAAATAAACTGCGAGAGTCAAATTGCCCAGTTTCCAGTGTAAAGACGCCAGAAGAGCCACAGGCTTCTCACGTAAGAAATGGGAAGCACTCACTGATGAGCAAACGCACGTGAAGTGTTTAGCAAGGCTTTGCCGTATACTAAGCATTCAGTCAGTGGTAGCAATGGTAATAATTTGTATTCACAATTATTATTCAGTGTCCTTTTTTTTTTAATTTTTATTGAAATATAGTTGATTTACAGTGTTGTGTTAGTTTCAGGTGTCAATGTCCTATTTTTAATGTTACAAGGAATTTTTAGTAGTCTGTGCCAACCGTCAATGCCATTACACATAGCCTGGCACAAAAGGAGAATTTCTTTCATTGTTTAGGATAAATGCCTATTTACTCAGCAGGTTTAAAGTCTTGAGACACATGGTATTCAACTGTTCAATAAAATTCTGTTTAAAAGAAAAGATGGCGAGGGGCTTCCCTGGTGGCGCAGTGGTTGAGAGTCCGCCTGCCGATGCAGGGGACGCGGGTTCGTGCCCTGGTCCGGGAGGATCCCACATGCCGCGGACCGGCTGGGCCCGTGAGCCATGGCCGCTGAGCCTGCGCCGGAGCCTGTGCTCCGCAGCGGGAGGGGCCACAGTGGTGAGAGGCCCACGTACCGCAAAAAACAAAACAAAAGAAAAGAAAAGATGGTGAGAGGTGCATGGATCTAGGGATATGAACAGCTAACCAGTCTCTTGGAGGAGGTGAGAATATATGAGCATAATCCCTCCAGGGGAAGAAGAAATCATGGCGAGGGAGACAATGGGAGAGCTGGAGAAATAGGACAGCAGCAAACTAGGATTGGCTGTTAGGGCTCATGAAGAAAAGGATAAAGAGTATAAAGAGCTTTAGATAACAGAGCCCCATCTCTCCATCACGTGTCACACACACACAGACTCACACACACGGGCCCCATGGTAGCAGAGTCATCAAAAGGGCACTGAACTCTCTCTCAGTCGGGGTGACATGGGTTCCAGCCCCTGACATCCCAGCTCCATGTGTCACAGGAAAACAGGCTGAGTCACAGAAGACCTGGCTTCCAAGCTGATTCTGTAAGAATCATGAACTTGGGCAAGTCACTTCACCTGATAAGCTCAGTAAGGAGAGTGAGGCAACTGGAACTCTCTTCTCTACCAGTCTGATCGACCTGGGACAGAGAAACTAGGCGCACCTCTCCTGGATGCGCTGATTTTGGTTAACTACTCATACGATGCAAGTGTGCAGATCAACCTGGGACAGAGAAACTAGGCGCACCTCTCCTGGATGCGCTGATTTTGGATAACTACTCATACGGTGCAAGTGTGCAGATTACTGCCGATTTCAGTAAACACTCTAGAAAAACGCATGCCCTGTATTACTGGTACCTGCCCTAGTCCCCTCCCGGCCCCCGTAACTGGTACCCGTTTGCTTTTAAAATCCACTTTATCTTGAATCATGTAAGACACATACATTAATAGAAGTTTTTATGGAATTTGTGATGCCTTGAATAATGGTCAGAAGGTGCATGTCTTTGTGTGTGGGTGAAGAAGGAAATAAACTCTTTTTAAAGCTAAAAAAAACAAACAAACTACCCTAGTGTCCAGGAGTAACACAAAGATGAGGGATGGAGGAGAGGAGGAAACAGCTCAGGGTAGACATGCCTTTGGCAGAAGAAACTCCAGCGCAGGCTGGGGGAGAAGGGGAAGGAGGGGGAGCGTGGCTGACTGCTGTCATCCGCAATAGCTCCAGCTTTGCCCCGCAGGTCCTGCCCACGCAGCCAGGGGAGACGGAGCCAGGGAGGGCTGGGGCAGGACTGACGATAGGCTGTGGCCAGAGAGCACAAGAGCAGGCTGAACCTGAGGGCTCTGAGAGGAAACCGTTGTGACACCAGCATTTTCCCCTCATCGTCTTGTGTCTACGAAAGGGAAGTCAGGAGTCATCACATCACTTCCTCGTCATGACCTTTCCTACCTTCCCGCTCCCTCCACCATCCCCCCCCTTTCCCAAGATTCACGTGGCTCCTCAGGACGGGGAGATTACAGTTGAGGGGAGTAAGACCAAGGCAGCAGGGGAAGTGGTCCCAAAGAGGATGAGGAAGGCTGACTTCTGAGTTCCAGGTCTGATGCTGGAATGGGGGAAGGAACTGGGGGTCTGGAAACCCGGGTTCCATTCAGACATCCCTCAATTCTCCTTTGTTAAAATAAAAGCTGGGGCTTCCCTGGTGGCGCAGTGGTTGAGAGTCCGCCTGCCGATGCAGGGGACGCGGGTTCGTGCCCCGGTCCGGGAAGATCCCACATGCCGTGGAGCGGCTGGGCCTGTGAGCCATGGCCGCTGGGCCTGCGCGTCCGGAGCCTCTGCTCCACAGCGGGAGAGGCCACAGCGGTGAGAGGCCCGCGTGCCGCAAAAAATAATAATAATAATAATAATAAATAAATAAATAAAAGCTGGAAAGATTCCCAATGCTGCTCTCTCTGTGATGACGTGAGAGTAAGAATATACAGGCTTTGAAGTTCCTAGGAACCCGGACTCTCTCATATTCCTCCACCACTAGCGGGCAGTTGCTGGGGAGGCAGGCAGGTGAGGATGCTGCAGACGAGGCAGATGAGGACGAAGATGTTGCAGCTGCGTGGTGAGTGGTACTCAGCGAATACAGAGGAGGATTACACATGGTGGTAACCAAGGTTGGGAAGGAAAGGAGGTTCAGGCCGTGGACAGGGGCACATCATCCCAGGAACTGCACAGCAGGTCTCCTGACGGAAGGGCACCTGTCTTCACCTCCCACCTGAACATGGTGATGGGCACATAGCAGATGCTCAGCAATGCCCGTGGAGGAACTAACAAGCTAGTTTGTCTCTCCTAAGGCCCCTGAAGAATGGCCATTGCCGTAGTGCAGCCAGGGGTACGGGAGACTGTCCCTTCCCCCAAGCTGGGACCTCCCAGGTGCTTGGACAGTGACCCAGGACTTGCATCCACTCCCTGACCCTTTCATGGTGCTCCCATCCAGCACTCCAGACATTCTTTATGCAGCAACATTTATTAAGTACCTGCCTACTTGCTCCAAGCAGGATACTGGGCTAGACCCTGAGGATCCCTAAATGAACAAGACTCAATCCTGACCACAACGAGCTCAGTCTAGCTGGGGACGCAGACGCAAACAAACAGGAAAGTAAAATGCAGCCTCTGCACTTCCATGGATGTTATGGTGTGCTATGGGAGTCCACAGGGTAGGGAAGTGGTCACGCCTGGGCAAGGCAAGACGGGGCAGAAGCCTGCATACAAGTAATGGTATCTGAGCTGGAGTTTAAAGGATGCGTAGGAGTTCTCCAGCAGAGGGTGGGAGAAGCTTCCAGGCTAAGGAAATAGCTTGAGCAGATGCACAGAGTTCCAAAGGACAGGGATGCAGGGCAGAGGCGCTGGGGTGTGGCTCCGTGGGGGCATGGGGTCGCGAGGCTGGAAGAGTCCTGGGACTCCGACTGGGAATGGCCGAGTCTTTACTACACTGAGCTGTTCCAGCCCCTGCCCTGAGAGTCAGGGAAAGGGAATTGCCTAGCAACCAACCAAGGGGGCTTTTGGGTGGGGTTCCCCACCCAAGTTCAAGAAGAGGAGCAAATGTCTGTGTCCCTGGAAAGCAGCGTGGAGGGCCATTCTGGGGCTGAATCCAGGCATCTTTGAGGAGGAAACCGTGCATGGCTTGGTGTGCCCTTGTTTGTGTTTTGTTCTGGTTGTCAGTTGTTTCCAAGGAAAGTTCTTTGTCAAAGATCCAAGTTTGTCTTGGCTGATCCAAGGGAAAAGAGGACTTGTCTGCACTCGGGTGGGGAAACCGGAGTGTTCTCGAGGCAGGACCAGCGGGTACAGGGCAGGAACCGAGGCCATGCTAGCCATGGTTCTCCAGACAATTTCCTCAGCCCCCTATCCAGCCTGCTTCCCTGCCCCCCAGCACAGGCAGCTGGGCAGCTCTGAGAGGCAGCCCCAAACATTCTCTAATCCTGCCAAGGCTGGTCCCCGCCCACCGAGGGAAGCACCTGCCATGGGGAGGGGACACCGCCCTTCCCTCTCAGGGCTCCCCCGGAGTGTGGGCGGACGAGCTGGCCTCCGTGGAGCCTGATGGAGCCAGGCGGGGGCCCAGGGTGGCATAGGCAGGTGGAGGGGCTGACAAGGCCAGGGAGGTGGCAGGGCCCGCCGCGGATGAGGATGGAGACGCGGGGTGGGGGCAGAAACGGGAGGGGAGGGAGGAAGGTGGAGTGGAGGCCACCTCCTGGGCACCCCTGCCCCCTCGGCCTGGAGACCAGTATTGACTTTGGAACCTCCGGAGCAGCATGAAGAATGTGATGGCCAGGAGGTCAAAGATGAGCTCGGCCATCTCCACCACAGACAGCACGGAGGAGCCGAACCACAGGCTCCACTGGCTACCCAGGTTGGACAGGAGGGTGACCATCTGTAAGGAGGAGAGGCACACTGACCACTCAGAAGAGGAACCCTGCCCTCCTGCCCGTAGGCCCTCGGCCAGCCCGCTCAGCCTCTCCTGGTCCCGGGGCCCCTGGCCTCTGCTCCCCTCCCCTGGGAGCACACGGCCACTGGTTGGTTTCTTCCAGGGAAAGCTGAGAACCAGGCCACGACGGGGACGGCTGAAACCCAGACCTGTCTCAGGGGCCTTCTCCCCATCGTCCGTCACCCCCTGCCCCAGAGACTTCACCCCCAGTGAGCATCCTCCTTCCAACCTTCTAATCCTTTCCCTTGCCCTATCCCCTTTCCACCTTCGAGGCCCAAACCCTCTGGCCCACAGAGGCCATCCCTTGTCTTTACGGACAGCCACCCCGCTAAGATCCCCAAGAGATCCCCAGCCTCAGTGAGGCAGGACGCACCGTGACAGAGGGAGACTCAGAGTTGGTTTTGTAGTTCAGCTCCTTGAAGAAGATGTTAAGTTTGGCAATCCCATCTCTTTGGCGTTGGGGAGAGGGTGGGAAGAAACGGCAGAGGGTTAACTTCTCTGCCGCTCGAAAACACCCTCCTCCAATCAACCGTATCAATGACCCCTCTTCCCAGGTCTGTTTTCCCTCCAAAAGATTCCTTTCCCGGGGCCGGAACCAGGGTAGGACTGACCTCTTGTTCTTGACGGTGTAATTGTTCTGTAGGGACAGCATCTGGAAGACCCAGTCCTGGGAAAGGATTGGGGTGTCAATGGGGTCACCCCAGAGTCTTCAGGCTTACAGGGATGGGGTGGGGTCATACACAACCATAAGCATATGGCCAGAAGACCACAATGTTACACACACACACACACTTTACCTGGGATGTCACCGAGGGCCATCGTGAGTAACCGGCAGAGAGCTTGTAGGTGGTCATACTGGGGACGGAGAAGGTGCTCAGTGATGGGGGGTGAGGCTCTCCCACTCAAAGCTGGGCTGAGGACCCCGTATTCTACCCAGCCAAGCAGCCAGCTGCCCAACCTGCGCTCCGGGGGGAGGGGGAGGCTCACTTGCATGGCTTCCGGCACTTAGTGAAACAGCCCAGGCGGTCTGAGGAGAAGGCGTCCTGGAGCTTATAGTAGCAGTAGCCTGCGGGTGCAGAGACGTGCTCATTTCCCTAGGCCCCCTCAGCCTTCTCCACCCCACACCCAAGAGGTCTCCCAAGATCCCTGGCGCCCACTTCACAAGAGTATTACGTAGCGTTACAGTGATGCCTCCCGAGTGGCAGCAACAGAAAATGTTGAAGAAATTAAGCTAAGTCCAATAAAAAATAAAATCAACCAGGGTACACCTCTGTAAAGATGCACAGGATATGGACAAACATTTAAAAGTCAAAGAAGGAAATGGGAACAATTTTAGTGCAAGAATAATGAGACACAGCGAGATACCCCTTCACACCCACTAGGATGGCTACAATGGAAAAAGACAATAACAAGTGTTGGTGAGGATGTGGAGAAACTGGAACTCATCACTGCTGGGAATGTAAAATGGTACCACCGTCGTGGAAAACAGTCTGGCGGTTCCTCAAAAGGTTACACATAGAACTTCTCTATGCACCAGCAATTCCACACCCAAGAGAATTGAAAACTCAACACAAAACTTGTACACAAATGTTCAGAGCAGCATTATTCACAAGAGCCAAAAAATGGAAACAACCCAAAGGTCCATCAACTGACGAATGGATGAACAAGATGTGGTCCATGCATACAATGAATATTATTCAGCCATAAAAAGGAGTGAAGTACTGATGTGCGCTACAAAGTGGATGAACCTTGAAAACATTATGCTAATGAAAATAAGCCAATCACAAAGGATCACATATTGTGATATAAGAAATGTCCAACACAGGTAAATCTTACGGTAGATAGAAAGTAGGTTAGTGGTTATGAGGGGCATGGGATGGTAGGGGCAGGGAGGGAGCCTGTGGTCGCAGGGAAAGGGGAGATGGAGAGGGCTAATGGGTACATAGTCTCTTTTTGGAGTGATGAAAAGGTTCTAAATTGATTGTGATGATTGATACACAGCTCTATGACTGTGCTAAAAACTGAAAGTATACTGAAGTTCCACTGTACACTTTCACCGGGTGAGTTATCCGGGAAATGAATTACCTCAATAAAGCTGTTACCAAGAAAAAAAAATAATGGGACCGTGAATTCGCCCTTCACCCCTATTTCCCAAGTTCTAAGTAAGGTTATTTTGTCATTCTTGCTACTTTTAGTCACCCGTCCAGAAGTCCTTCTTCATTTCTGACCCAAATCTCTCTGTCTACCAGGGTTTATATTATTAATTACATAATTAATCTTTAATTAGGAAGAGTGGGAAACAGCTAGGCCCTTTTCTCTGGAAGTAAGCCATCCTCAGGAAACTCAGCAGACTGTGTTTTCAGCCAGGCTCCTCTCCCTCATCCTCACAGCTTCTCAGCAAACAGCAATGTTATTTTTCTCTCGAAGATCTTTTTTAAATTCACAACCACTTAGCAATCACTGTTTGCGGGTCGGGGGAGCAGTGGGCAGAGTCCCTGCCCTGCGTGTCCTGGGACATCACGTCTTCCCTCGGGAACCTCAGCTTGTTCATCTGAGAAAGAAGCCCGTCAGGCCAGACGCCCTCCGAGCTTCCCTCCAGCTCTGATGCGCTGTGATGCTCTAAGGCCAGAGGGCTAGGAATCGGAAGGCCGGAAGGCCGACTGCAGAGCACAGGCAGGGGGAAAGCTGAGTGCAGCAGAGCCAGGAAAGGAAGTAGGCAGAAAGATGAACACAGCAGAGCCAAGACAGAAGCAGCACGCAACTCTAGGGTCTGCTGTGGCCCTGCCACATCCCCTGGGAGGGGTCAGCTGTGCCAGGTAAGGGCATGTGCACAGGGACGCCTGCCCTCTATCTTCTAGTCTCTTGGGGATTTTCTTTCTCTCTAAGCACAGCTTCCCTGCTGAATAACTCAGCTGTAGAAAAAAGGAAAAGGGATTGGTCAGCTCCTAGACCAGGGTCAGGAGGAGAATCTAGTGCCCTCCAGATTCTAGGTAAAACATTCCTCCGTAAGCCATTCCAATCTATGTACTGGGTTTCTAAATGACATACCCACTCCCACTGCACTGATACCTTATGTACATTATAAAACATACATAAAATGGAAGATGTTAGGGAATGAGGCAGATGCACATAACGTTTAGTATTTTCTTCCTGCCCCCAGTGCCAGTGCCCAGCACTGGCCCTGCTGGCGCCCTGGGGAGTGAGCCGGGAAGCTACAGTCAGAGCGCAGAACCCGGGGGAGATCTGCTTCATGGCTCTTCCTTCCTTTTTGCTGCGAGTCATTTTTAAATGAGGCCATCCCATTATAAACACACAGAAGCCAAAACAGAGAGAGAGAGAAACTGTGAGGGAGGAACAGAGATAGAGGAGAGACACAGAGAGTGAGAGGAAAACAGAGAGGGGTAGCATCTAAGGGCCGGAACCCAAGAGTCGGCAGGAGAACCTGCCAGAGACCGTGGGAGCCAGAAGCCACGGCCGGGGCACTGAGGGTGCAGGGCTCCTGGGACTGTCCTGGGCTCAAGTGGGGTGTGGGGCCGGGCCTCCCGCAGTCTCACCCCAGGAATTATGCTTCCTGTAGTCACAGAACTCCACACCCCTGGGCTGCGGGTAGAAGATGTAGGCACAGCCACACTCCCTGATCATGTTCACCTGGAAGCAGGAATGGATACACACCTGCAGGAGGGGAGAATGAAGGGGGAGGGGGTCAGGACTGCCCTCCCCGACGCAGCTCCAAACGGCAGGGGAGGGGAGCACAAACCAGTCCCCGCAGTGCGCCTCCATCCCTCTCTCCACCCGTCCCCATCACCCATCACACACACCCTGTGGCTTTGGCTGACCTGCACTGCAGGCCTGGGAGATGGTCGCCATAGACAGGCTGAGCCTCACCTGCTGCGTGTACTTGGTACCGTAAAGGTTCTCCACTGGGACATCGCTGCCATTCTTGGTGCAGTCGCCATAGTCACCCCCAAGTCTGTCCACGGCTTCCTGCGAATGCAGAGACATGGAGAAGTCAGAGGTCAGAGGTCAGACCTCTCGTTGTCAAGGCCTCTTCCCGGCCTCTGTCTTCCCTCAGTCCCAGGCTGTATGTCCTACCTTACCTCCTCTCCTATCTGCCTCACCATTTCAAAACACACGCCCGGGACTACTTCCAAGGACACTGGGCCCGGAGCACCCCCTGGAACCCCAAGCACGCCCCGCACCCCTTCTCGGTGCTCTCGCCCGAGCCTCCCCCGCCCCAGATCCCTACTTCCTAACGCCCACTCGGCCGGGGCCCTCACCCCTGGTTTCTGCTCCTGAAGACCTCCACGCGCTCGAGGCTCCCCCTGCACGACCTCTTCCGGTCCTCTGGCTGTCACCCCCCAGGCCCTCTCCCCGCCCTTCACCTGAGGCTCTCTTCCCAGGCCTCGCAGTCAGCCTCCTTGCCTTACTCATGCTGATGGAGGTCTCCATACCAGGCCGCAGGTTAAAGCCTCCGTCGTCCATAAAGGCGGGCTCATCCTGCCCGTGCACCATCACCCTGGCCCCGGTCACCGTGGACAGCAGCGGGATGAAGTCATTCTGCTCCGTCCGCAGCATCAGGGACAGACCTGGGCGTGCAGGGGGAACAGAGTGACGGGGGTCTGGGAGAAGCATCTGGGGGTGGAAACCCACCCGCCCACCCTGCCTCGTCTCTAAGCCTCCCAGGGCAGCAAGTTCAGGAAGACCTGCAAATGGGCTTGGCAACCCCTGAGCTGGATTCGGGGTGGGGTGAGGGGCAGCGGAAGGCAGGACTGGGACAGAATTCCTACCACACCTGGAATGTACCACGTGATGCCCACGGGGGAGAAAAATCAAAGAGGATTTTTCCAGGATACAGATGGGCACGCTGCAGTGAGGCCCCAAGCGTCACTAGGACGCGGGCTCAAGGTGGGTAAATGCGGGTGCACAGCGCGGGGGAGCGGCTGGGGCCGAGGTCAGGGGTGGCGCACCGTTGTTGACCCCAGGCATGAAGGACATCCAGAGGTTGGAGTTGTTCTTGTCATTGAAAGTGTAGCAGTTCCCATACATCGGGTGGTGGAAGTGGGAGTAATTCCTATGCAGGAGAGAGAGAGGGGGGTCAGAGGGGAAAGTGCAGGGGGTCAGGGAGAGGAAGACTTTCAGAGCCCTTTGTTTCCTGATCACCTACTATGTGCCAACACAGTGCTGGGAGCCTTGCCCACAAGCCCTCAGTCACTCCACTGGGCATCATCCCTACTTCACGGAAGAGGGAGCACGGGCTCGGAGAGATCTAGTAGCTGCCCAAGGTCACACAAGCAGCAAGGACGAGATGGGACACCAACCAGATCAGCCATCTTCTAGCCCAGGCTCCTTCCACCCTACTTCCACCCTTCCACCCAGGCTCCTTCCCTTCCACCCTACGGTGAGTCCAACTGACCTCACTGGCCTTGTGACCCTCCCGTCACTGTGCTGCACTATGAACTCCTGCAGCACCCCTAGCTTCTCGTGTGTCTCACTCTTAGTTCCCCATTTGGTTTATAATCTCCCTGAGGACAGGAGCCACATCTCATTCATGTCCGAATCATCTCTAGGGTAATGGTGTGGTTCCTGGCACACTGGAGACACAGGAGATCGTTAACAGCTAGCTGACAGATGAACGGAAGGGAAGGGGGGTCCGGGGGGAAGAGAGTGAGACCAGTGAGCACAAAGCTTCAAGGAGGAAGGTCAGATGCGAGGGCGGGAACGGGGCCTCTCACGTCAGCATGCCTCCCACTGGTAGGTCCAAAGCTGGGCTGGGCTAAGTTTGGGAACAGAGAGAAAGGAATCACAGATTTGTGTTGCAATAGGAACACGATTTGACAGCAAATCACAGGTCCCCCAACAGGGAGGCTGTGCGGGGCTGCAGCTAGAGCCCACACGGGAACAGAGGGGATCTGTGTTCTAACTACCCTGCCCTCTGGGAGCCAGTGAGGGGAGCAGGGAGAAGAGGGGGACGAGGCTTTGGGCCGAGAGAGGTAGAGGAGGAAGGAAGAGAAGTAGGAGAGGAAAGAAGGCTGGACGGAGGTCAGGAGCGGGGTGCTGGCTGCACGGCCTTGAGCAGCCATTTTTCCCTAAGCTTACTCTCCTCATCTGTAAAACGAGGAGATGGAACTAGATGATCTGGAATGCTCCATCAGCCTTGAAGAGCAAAGGCTCCATCGGCCTTGAAGAGCAAAGGTGTGAAGTACTGGTGCACATTCTGGGAAGGGCTAGGAAGTCAGCATTTCCAGAACAAAGGCTTCCCTCAGGGAGAGAGGAAGAAAGAAGCGGCCAGTCCTGCAAGGCCTGTGAGCCCTGCTCAGAGGAGAGGGACAGGGACAGTGTGGCAGACGCACACCCCGGGGTGTTTGCAGCAGGTGGAATCAACAGCGTAGACACAGCACCATGCATCATTCTTAAACTCACAGAGCTTAGTTTACAAAATAAAAAGTGACATGAGATACATAACACAACGCCATTTATGTCCACATTACACACACACTGGGTAAAAACACATACAAAGAGAAACACAGTAAGCACATTATGAGAATACGTATATGAGCAGCAGCATAACGTGACGGTGAAGAGCACGCGCTCCAGAACGAAACAGCTTGTACTCGAATCCTAGCTCTAACCAGTGTTAGCTGGAGGACCAGCCCAGGCACTTGATCTCTTTGCGCTGCAGTTTCCTCGTCTATACAATGGCGATAATCATACTACTTACTTCACAGGGATACTGGGAGGATTAAATTACACTCAGAACGGTGCTTAGCACTCAGTAAGAGCTATGTAAATTTGCTATTAAGAGTAGAGGGATTCAGGGACTTCCCGGGTGGCACAGTAGTTAAGAATCCACCTGCCAATGCAGGGGACACGGGTTCGAGCCCTGGTCCGGGAAGATCCCACATGCGGCAGAGCGACTAAGCCCGTGTGCCACAACTACTGAGCCTGCGTGCCACAATTACTGAAGCCCGCGCACCTAGAGCCCGTGCTCCGCAACAAGAGAAGCCACCGCAATGAGAAGCCCGCGCGCCGCAACTAGAGAAAGCCTGAGCGCAGCAACGAAGACCCAACACAGCCAAAAATAAATAAATTTTAAAAAAAAGAGTATAGGGATTCGTTAAGACATCTAAAGTCAAAAGGACAGATATAACAAGGGGAGGCTGGGGAGAATTTGCAACCCCCACACACCGCTGATGAGAATGCAAAACAGCACAGCTACTTGGAAAACAGTCTGGCAATTCCTCTAAATGTTAAATATAAAATTACTATGTGACCCAGTGATTCCACTCCTAGGTATCTCCTAAGAGAAATGAAAATATACATCCATACAAAAACGTGTACAAGAATGCTCATAGCAGCATTATTCATAATAGCCAAAAAGTGAAAGCAACCCAAACGTCCATCCGCTGAAGAAGAGATAAACAAAATGTGGCTTATGCATACAATGGAAAGCTATTTAGTCAGAAAAAAGGCAGGAACTGGGGGGGATTCCCTGGCGGTCCAGTGGTTAGGGCTACGCGCTTCCACTGCAGCAGGGCACCAGTTTGATTCCTGGTTGGTGAACTAAGATCCCACATGCCTCTCGACGTGGCCAAAAAAAAAAAAAAAAAAAGGCATGTATTACTGATACACACTGAAACATGGATGAACCTTGAAAACAGGATGCTAAGTGAAAGAAGCCAGTCACAGAAGACCACATATTGTGTGACTCCATTTATATGTAATGTCCCCAGCAGGCAATCCATAGAGACAGAAAGTAGAATAGTGGTTGCCAAGGCTCGGAGGAGGGGAAGGAACAGGGGGTGAGGAAAATATTCTACAATTAGACAGTGGTAATAGCTGCACAATTCTGTGAATATACTAAAAACAAATGAACTGTAGCCATTAAAAGGATGAATTTTGTGGTATGTGAATTATACCTCAATAAAGCTGGGTTTTTTGTTGGTTGTTTTTTTTTTGCTGTACGCGGGCCTCTCACTGTTGTGGCCTCTCCCGTTGCGGAGCACAGGCTCCGGGCGCGCAGGCTCAGCGGCCATGGCTCACGGGCCCAGCCGCTCCGCGGCATGTGGGATCCTCCCGGACCGGGGCACGAACCCGTGTCCCCTGCATCGGCAGGCGGACGCTCAACCACTGCGCCACCAGGGAAGTCCCTGTGTTTTTTTTTATACTTATTTTTTTATTTAGGCTGCGCTGGGTCTTAGTTGTGGCTCGCAGGATCTTTTAGTTGCAGCATGCATGTGGGATCTAGCTCCCCAACCAGGGATCGAACCCGGGCCCCCTGCATTGGGCACACGGAGTCTTACCCACTGGACCACCAGAGAAGTCCCTCAATAAAGCTGTTATTAAAGAAAAGATTATAGAGAGAGGGGAAAGGGTGTTGGATACAGGGGAGGAGAGGACTGAGAAAGCCATGATAAAGCGCTTGAACTCAATTCCGAAGGCCAGAGAGACACTGAAGGATTTTAAACGGGCCTGACTGGAATAGTTAAGTACAGTGAAGTGCAGGCAGAACCCTGAAGTATTAAAGCTTCCTGTGGTCGCAGAATAAAGGGAGGATTGAGAGGCAGAGAGACAGATTAGAAGGGCTATCATAATCCCGGTGAGAAATGAGGCTCTGAGCTGAGGAAGTGACCTAAGCGTCAAGTCTGAGATGAACGATGGACTTTCCATTGATGGGGAGGCAGCAGCCTGGGGCAGGCAAAGTGAGAGGGTGACAGAGCAAGTCGGTGGCAGGTGTGGGCTGACCCAGGCTCAGGTGCTGGTCTCACTTCCCCAGTGGCAGCTTCTGTCCTCAAACAAACACAGAAACAAGAGACAGGAACAAAGGTGTGCGCTGGGCAGAGTGTGTGTTCCAGGTGAGGGGTGGCGGCAGAACCAGGTGACACGTGGCCCTAGTGACAGAAAAGGGCAGGGGTCCCTGTAGAGTGGAGACGCTGCGTCAACACCCTTCCTCAGCCAGGCAGAGGCAGGGAGATGGTGCCTGAACACCGAGGAATAGGGAGGGGAAGGCGGGGGTAGGAGGGGCCAGAGGCTACAGAAGGGGACCTCCCTGTACCCCTAGCCCCTCCCAGCCCTCAGAGAGCTGGCAGCTGCCGTGACCTCTTTGCAAGGACATTATGACAGGAGATGTGACTGAAAGAATGCCTGGCGGGCATTGCAGTAGAGTGGGGAGGACCCTTGGCTCGGGCTGGCCTGGTGGCCTAGGGCAAGTCACTTCATCTGTGTGAGTGTCATTTCACAGGAGTAATGAGACCCACCACTCACTGCAGTGCGTAAAGTGCTCTCAACTCGTCATCTCTTGCACTTGGAGATAGACGTTATCATCATCTTCATCACTTAAGAAAAAGTGCCAAGGGACTTCCCTGGCAGTCTAGCGGTCAAGACCCTGAACTTCCACTGCGGGGGGCGTGGGTTCAATCCTTGGTCAGTGAACTAAGATCCAGCATGCCGCACGGTGTGGCCAAAAAAAGAAAGAAGAAAAAGAAAGAAAAAGTGCCGAAAGGACAAGGATTTTTCTTCTTCTTCTTTGATGTGTCCCAAATGTCTACAGCAGTGATGGGCGCACAGCCCAGACAGTCAAACATATTTGTTCAATGAACATTGAATGAATCTCATTTCCCCCACTTTACAAAGAAGTAGGCTCCGAAGAGTGATGTGAAATGCTCAGAGTCACCTGGCCTGGAAGAAACAGAGCCAGAGCAGGAACTGAGGGTCAGACTCTGACTCAGTCCACGCTGGGTCCACTATGCCACTACTGCCGCGTCATCTGAGCAAGCGGGGCAGGGGACCAGACGACCTTCCAGGCACTCTGGAGTTTGATGCTAGTGAGAAAGAGGCCTTAGAAAAATGGAGAACCATGCTTCCAGCCCTTGGTTTCTCAAAGCCGGACCTCAACCCCAGCCTTCCCAGGGCATCCATTTGAGGCTGCTTCACTCAGACCCAGCCCTGCAGGGAGCAGCAGAAATCCTGCAGGACAATTCCTGGGGCAGAGGTTTGGACCTGAAGTCAATGCTTCTCCCTCCTCCCCACCCGCAAGCATTTATTTAGTCAACCAGCATTCCGGGGTGCTGGCCATGCTGGGCCTCAGGCTGGCGCAGGGAAGGAGACCCCATGGGGAGCACGAAGCCAGGCCTCAGGGACAAGACTCACGCCTCATTGCAGGAGACCTGGTTGAAGCGGCAGGCGAAGATGAATTTGCCCAGCGCTTCCTCCTCCAGCATTGGAGTGTCCTGCCGTCTGGACAGAATGTTGATGTAGTGGAAGCGGTACCACTCCCTCACTGCATCCACCCCTGATGAGTACGTCCGGTAGAAGCAGTCCGAGTTGTTCTGGTTGCACTAGACACAGAGACCAGAGAGTCAGAGGACCAGCAGCAAGGGCAAGCAGGACGGGGGCCAAGGTCAAGGAATGGATAGTCTGGGGTCCTGAAGCCAGATAGACAGGGGTGGGGAGCCAGGAGTGGGAAGAAACAGAAGCCCCGAGAAGAGCGGACCCGGAGAGCAGGGGATTAATGGAGGAGACCGGGAGCTGCACACACCTCGGGGTCATTTATGCAGTCCGAGGAGGGTGGAGCAAGGATTCTTCTCCCCATTTCACAGATGGGAAGACTGAGGAATCAAGTGGTTCGTCCCAGCACCAGAGCGGGGACTGGAACCCCGGTCTCCAGGTACCATGCTCCGCTCTCACTAAAGGGGCCTCTCTTTCTTCTCTCTGCTTCTCTCCCATTTATTTTTAAAGTTTCCTTGTTACTGTCTCCCTATTCTCTGTCTTAGGCCGGCGGAGCCCCAGTGCCCCATCACACTGGAGGGTCCCAACTGAGTCCCACTGGGGGGGATTGGAATTCAGAAAGCACCTTTTCCACCGTAGATCTGACTTCTCACCCCATAAACGCTCCCACAGAGGCCCCCAGCGAGGAGCCTCCACAAGCTGGAGCCCAGAGAGATGCCATTTAATTTTATTTTTCAAACCATATTTAAGTATTTAACTTACTCATTTTGCCAGCCAGCGGACTGGGTCCGCCTTGTATCACCGGCAGCAGAGGTGGGTAGGAAAAGGGAGCGGAGCGGAGTCCCGGGCTCCGGCCGCACCAGAGGGGCGGGGCGAGGGGGCGGGGCCTTACCAGTTGGAAGCCGATCTTCCAGTCCTTCCTGTTCACCTTCGGGTTACTGTGACTCAGGCTGGAGTCGGATCGGCGGACTCTGCTGGCGGCGTGGGGCGGAGCCGGGACCGGCAGGCGCTGCAGGGGGTGCGGCAGGGACTCCCGCAGGTCGCGGCGGCCGCGGGCGTGGGCCACGAGACTGTTGGAGGAGTTGTACTTGTACAGGTCGAAGAGCGTCTGCTCTGTGGTGCGGTCCAGCTCCTCCAGGTCCTTTTTCATTTCCGTGTACCTGGGAGGGGCGATGGCAAAGGGTCGGACCAGGAGGCGGCGGCCTCGCGACAATCCCCGGCGCCCCTGGGCCTCAGTTTCCCTGTCTGTAACCGGAGAGGTCGGTTCATCCCGGAGAAGCCTGCGGGGAATAGTTCTGGGGTCTCCCAGGCTATCTCGGGGGCGAGGGGGCGTGCAGACAGGTGTGTCCGCGGAATAATAGGAGGCGACAGTGAGCTCCGGCGGTGACGGCATTTACTGCCGCGTGTTTATCGTGAGGGAGAGGCGGGAGACGCTCTCCTCCCACCTAGCCCTGGCCTGGAAGGGAACCCAGAACTTGTCTGCCCCTTCCCAGGGCGGGAGGGGGGGTGGACGGGCTGGGCCCAGACACTCCAGGGACCCGCGATGCGCGCGCCATCCCGCCCCATTCCCCCGCCCCTTCCCGCCCCGGCGAGGGTGGCTTTTGGGTCCGTCTGCCACCTGACACTTTCTAAGTCTGGGGTTCTCAACTGCATTTCTAGAATCTTCCAAGGAACTTAAAAAATGCCAATGTCAGTGCTGCATACGCCGCGCCGCCTCCCGCCTGCCAGACACCAGAGGAGACTCAGTTTTAATGAGTTTCGGGTGGGGCCCAAACACTGTAAGTTAAGCACCGTCCAGTATAAATCCTCACGTTCCTTCTTCTCAATACAAGGCCTATATGCTGCATCACGAAAGTCCAGAGTAGCAGGGCCTTAGGGATAGAATCTACCAAAACAAAACAAACACCTAGAGCACCTAGAAATTAAACGAGGTTGCAAGACACAAAGCCAATGTACAAAAATTAATTGTATTTCTACAAGCTAGCAACAAATATTTGGAAAATGAAATCAACTACAACACCATATTAAACAGCATAAACAACATCAAACACTGGGAATAAATCTAATGAAAGAAGTGCAAGACCTGTACACTGAAAATCCTGCTGAAACTAAACCACCAAGACCAAAATAAAAGGAGTTGCAGATGTTCATGGATCAGAAACTCATGAGGGGGCTTCCCTGGTGGCTCAGTGGTTAAGAATCCTCCTGCCAATGCAGGGGACATGGGTTCGAGCCCTGGTCCGGGAAGATCTCACGTGCCACGGAGCAGCTAAGCCCGTGCACCACAAATACTGAGCCCACGCTCTAGAGCCTGCAAGCCACAACTACTGGGCCCACGTGCCACAACTACTGAAGCCTGTGTGCCTAGAGCCTGTGCTCCGCAACAAGAGAAGCCACAGCAATGAGAAGCCCACACACCCCAACGAAGAGTAGCCCCCGCTCACCACAACTAGAGAAAGCCCACGCGCGGCAACAAAGACCCAACACAGCCACAAATAAATAAATAAGTAAATATTAAAAAAAAAAAAGAAGGAAAAAGAAACTCATGAGGTCTCCCAGATTGCTCTCTAGATTCAACTCAAGTGTCTATCAAAATTTCAGTGGACATTTTGGAAGAAATTCACAGGCTGATTCTAAGATTGATATGGAAATGCAAAGACCCTAGAATGACCAAAACGATTTTGGAAAAGAAGAGCCAAGTTAGAGGACTTACTCTACCTGAGTTTAAGACTATAAAGCCACAGTAATCAAAACAGTGTAGTGCTAATATAAGGATAAACGAAAGATCAATAGCACAGAATAGAGTCCAGAAATATAATCACAGATATATGGTCAACTGAGTTTTGACCAAAGCACCAGTTCAACTCAATGGCAAAAATAATTTTTTTTTAAAATAGGTGGTGCTGGAACAACTGGATACTGTATGAAAAAAAAGAAAAAGAAAAAAAAGAACCTCAACCTCTACCTTAGTCCATATACAAAAATTAAGTCAAGCTACATCACAGACCTAAACAAAAAATTCAGAAACATAAAGACTATACAAGAAAATATAGAAGAGATCTTCATGTCCTTGGGGTGGGCAAAATTCCTTGGAATAAAGAATATCTAGGGACTTCCCTGGTGGCACAGTGGATAGGACTCCTCACTCCCAATGCATCAGGCCTGGATTCCATCCCTGGTCAGGGAACTAGATCCCACATGTATGCCACAACTAAGGAGCCCACGTGCCGCAACTAAGACCTGGTGCAACCAAATAAATAAATATTTTTAAAAATATACCTAAAGAAGAAATCCTGCAATATAAAAACTTCTTATGGATCAACAAGAAAAAGACAAACTGTTTTAAAAACGAACCCCCAAAATATACAAATGGTCACTAAACACATGAAAAGGTGCTCAAGACAATTAGTCCTCAAGTGAATGCAAATGAAATCCATAATGAGGTACCATTTAACATCCATGAGGCTAAAAGTAAGAGACTGACAACACCAAGTGTTGATGAGAATGTGGAGCATCTGGAATTGCTGCTGGTGGGAGTTTAAAGTGGTACCACCAGTCTGGAGGACAGTTTGGTAGTTAAAGGTAAATCTGCATCTACCTTATAACCCTCTGTATATTTCACCCAATTCCACTTCTAGCTATTTGCCCAAGAGCAGTGAACACATAAAGACTTGTATGTGAATGTATAGCAGCTTTACTCATAATAGTCAAAAAGCTTCAAAGAACCCACATGTCCATCACCACGGCTCAGCAGTAAAAAGGGACTGATACAGAAGAAAAACAAAGACAAACAAACAAACAAAAAACCACATGAAAGGATTTCAGAAACATGAAGCCGAGCAAAATAAGCTAGACACACACACAAGAAAATTCATAGTGTGTGAGTCCATTTATATGAAGTCTAAGAACAGAAGAAACTAATGGATGGTGACAGAAGTCAGAAGATGACAGTGGGAGAGGGAAAGGAATTGACTACAAAGGGTCACCAGCTAATGGAATGTTCACTATCTTGAGTGCCAAGCCTCAAAGAGCACCTAAGATTTGTGCATTTTACTGTATGTAAATTTGCCTCAATTAAAGAAAAAGTGAACCATCAGTGCAGGCCTTCAATCACCAGAGTCAGATCTGGTGGGATCGGGTGGGGCCCCAACAAGGTAGTTTTTACAAGAGTCCCGGGAGGTCCTAGTGTGCAGTCACAATCACTGCCTAGTCCAAGTCCTCAGTCCTCCTCCACCATCTCCCTCATAAAAGACTAGCCGGCTGTCCCTCATTTTCTCCCAGGAGAAAATGTAGCTCAGGTGGAAGGTGTGTGTTTGACATTCTGAGATTTGTTTGTTGCTGGTCATTAAAAGAACAGCAGTAGAAGGAAACGTTACTGGAACTGAGATCTAATCAGCTTTCCACACTCATTTCCTAGCCTCGCCACTTTCTAGATGGTTAGCCTTGGAGAAGTTACTTTGGAGAAGTTACTTTATCTTCTCTGGGCTTCTGTTTCATCATCTGTGAAATGGGAGCACCTGCTGCATAGTGTGGTGATAAGGATTAAATGAGGTAATATATCAAAAGTACTGAGGAAAATACCTGGCCGAGTGGGTACTGTATAACTGCAGCTGTTGTTATTATTGTCATGACTGTTCTTTAATGCGAACGATAATAGTAACCTGTTGTTGAAGCAGAGAAGGCTGAGGAGACAGGAGCACTGCCTGCCACTCACCTGCCCTGTGACTTTGTGGTCTTAACAAACGTGGATCCTGAGACCAGATTCCAATTCTGACTCGTCCACCTAGCAGCTGGGTGACCTTTGCAAAGCCTTTAGGGTCTCAGAGCCTCCGTCTTCTCCTCTGACTCTGAGCTGACAGTTCCCTCCTTATCCAGCAAGCTTGTGATGAAGATCAGATCGCGATAGTGGACTTGGCAAAGTGCAGCACAGTCAGGTGCACCTGAACTGGTGGCCATCGGGCAAAGAAGAAGATGTCTTTAGAGTTTCTCCAAAGAGACAGAACCAGGACCGGAGGGTAGAAGTGACGGTGAGGTAAGCTGCAGCTTTACCTAAGGAAGAACTTTCCAGCAACAGCTGCTACAGAGGTAGTAAGGTTCCTGACGTGAAGGAGTCCATCCCTGGGAGGGGGTTGGGAGAGTGTCAGGTCTAAGAGTCTGGGCTTTCTGTCCCTGCCAGGCCTGCCAATGCAGAGCCTGCTTTCCAGATCCTGTGGGAGTGCAGGGTTGGCTCAGAGCCTTCCCCTGCCTCAAGGCAGCTCTTTGGGGCACTGCCCTTCTCCTCACCACCATGCCCCCTGCTCTGCCATCTCCAGGAAGGAAGATTCCATGACCTTCTTTGCTGTCTAAGAATGCCAAGCTCTTCCTTAGAATCGGCCTCAATCCTCCGAGGACTGGATAAAAAATATGTTCTTGGGCTTTGATGTGGCTATGTCTGGCCCTGTCTCTGGGGTGAAGAAAGCCCTTTGTTAACCAGAAAGGAGGGGACTGCTGTAGCTGACCTTTCACATTGGATTCTCAGCACCTCCTTGCTTAGCATGAAGGTCTTCAGCCTTGTCCCCTTTTCTGGCAGTTATAGAACAGCCCAGAACCACGCTCCCCCTTCTTCCTCCCCCTCTTCTGGCCACGCCCAGCTGCCTGCTGGTGGGCATCTGGTCACGATTTCCACCTCCTCCCTGCTTCCCCTGTCCAAGTCACCCATCTTGCCTCTGCCTCTAGTACCCATGCCAGCGTGGGTCACACTCAGGCTACCACCCACCCCCACCGGGCTGCATCAACCTGTCCACCCTTCCCTGCCTCTCTCCTGGAGCAGGAACCAATAGCCTGGATCCTTCCCTCCTCCCTCCTCCCTCCGGACTCCTGCTGCTCTTCCCCACAGACTCCCACCAGCCCCCCAACCCTGGATGCCTTTGCCTGGCCCCTCCTTAAAGTGCAATGGGAGAAAGAGCTTTGAGATCAAACACACTTGGTTTGTAACTCAGCTGCTGACCTAGGATGCACTGGCTCCTATGTTGGGGGGAGGGAGGGCGGATTTTTGAATCTCAGTTTCACCACCGGTTCCCTGTGTGAACTTGGGCAAGTTACGTAACCTCTCTGGGCCTCAGTTTCCTCAGCTGTAAAATGGGAGTAATACTGGTATCTACATTAGAGGTCTGTTGTGAAGATTAAATCATTTAATTAATAGAAAATTTTCATTTGTTTGTACTGTGAAGTACTATATTAAGTACTGTATGTGTTAGCCATTATCGTTGTTCATTTTTTTATTATTTGCTGTTTGACCCTGCTCAGTTACTTCACCTGCACTTCCTCATCTGCAAAAATGGAAATAATAAGGCCCATCTCCATGGACTTGTCAGGATTAAATGAGGTAGTGCTTATAAAGCACCCAGGGCAGGATCAAGCATGTAGTAGACGTTCAATACCCTTGCCCGGCTTTGAGGAGCCTTTCCTGACTCCCCTCCCTTCCAGGGTGCTGTGTTCTCTCCCCACTAAGTCATGCAGGAGGGATTTTGTTCCTGTGTGGACACCTGCCTCCCAGCCTGCAGGCCTCAGAGGCTGGGGCTCTGGTTTTCATTCCCTGGGGGCTTTTTCCACTACTGCTCAGGGCCTTGCTCCCTGCAGAGCCTTGGAAAATACGCAGGCCTCAACACTCAGCCTGGCCCTGTCCGTCTCTCACCCACATCTTTCAACCACAAGTATTTTATCGACAGCTTAGTCCTCAGGCCTGCCTGCCCTCCCCTCCCTCCCCTCCGCCACTGCCCCAGGGGATGAGGGTGTGGGAAGAGGAGGGAAAGGTTAGGGCAGAGGAGCACGAGGTTGGGAAGAGGAGAAGCAAAGTCACAGGGAGCAGGGGAGGAGAAAGAAGGCTTAGAAGGCAAATAAAACAAGCTCAGAAAGGAGATGTAAACGTCTGAGCGGAGATTCCATTTATTCCACGTTCACATCTTGGGTGTTAAGAAGAGGCAGGGTTTGTGAGTTGTGATCAGGCACACAGGGTGAGTCACTATCTCTGTGACCCTGTGCCTTACCTCTCTTTGCCTCAGTTTCCTCAAGTGTAAAACACGGATGATAATAGTACCTGCCTCGTAGGATGGTTGGGAGAATTAAAGGAGACGCCTGTGGGGTACTTAGCTGTGTCTGGTGCGTGAGGCAGCTTCTTGGTAACTGGCCCCTTACCCTGGACCTTATAAGGGGGTTAATCAGTGAAATGGCCCGGCAATGTTTCTCTGTAGGACAGGAGGTCCCAACCCTTATTAGTTCATGACACACCTTCGGACACAACAGAATCTGCCACCCCCAATGTGTGACCAATCCCAGTCACCCACAATCGCACGCACACGCCGTTTGTGTGCTCACACACACACTCCTGCGATCACACACACGTGCACTCGTAAATCTTACACTCCTTGAAGACAGAGACTATACCTCACAATTTTTATTGTACCTATCACAGTGAGCTGAAGTTATTTGTTTATATGCCTGTCTCTTCCATCCTATCTTTCAAATACCTAGCAGAGTACCTGGCCCACGGCAACAACTGCAGGAATTATTGGTGAACCCATTTGCCGGGTGCCTAGCCCTGTGTCTGGCCTGCCTCGGGTGTCCCAAGGTGTGGCAGGACTGAGCGAACACACAGAAAATGTGGGTGTGTGTAGACACCCAGCCCTGCCCTCCTGTCTTCTCTATGGTCACCTCCACACCCTCTGGCTTCCCGACCGAAAATTGGCAAAGAACGGTGATGAAACCCAAAACTTCAGGACACACCCAAGTACGTAACAGTCAGTCACCTGGGCAGGTGGACTGTACAGCCCAGCAGGGTCACCTGAGCCTCTGGGAGAACAGCCTGACCAGGGCTGTCCTGTTCTCCTGGCTCTGTGACGCTCCACGCCCCCCACCTCCGGCTCACAGAATGCTTTGCTACCACCCGCCACTTTGCTTTCTCCAGAACAACCCCCCCTGCTCAACCAACACCACCGTACCAGGGCCCGGCCCCTGCCAGCTGCCACCGCCCATCCCATCGCCCCTGCCCCAGAACCTCCGTCAGATTCATCGCCTGACGCGGAGGAGGGGCTGATCCCTACCCTGCCCTTCTGGAGTTCTGAGCATCTTGACCTCATCAGCACTCCCTCCCGCTTGCGGGAGGATGAAGGGCTGGAGGAGGAAGCTGTCGGTGCCCCAAGCCTGCTCTGGAGAAGCCCCGGGCACTAGGAAGGCGTCACTGGGCAGAGCGAGGGCCAGCCCATCAGATCGGGGGCTCCCTACCCTGCCCAAAGGGAGGTCTGCCTCGGGACAGGAGTGTCGTCTCCTACCTCTGGGTCTGAGCATCTGCCTGCCCGGTGGGCACCCCTGTACCCTCTGGAGCCCCCTCCCAGGCTCGGGGAAGCGGCGGAAGGAGACCGACCTGTAGGGATTGAGGGTGCAGACGGTGACGGCGGGGAAGACGAGCTTCTCCGAGTTGAGGTTGATGTTGAGGCTGACGGGGTAGCTGAAGTACTCTCCGAAGAGCAGGCCGAACTGCCAGTACATCATGCCGAAGGTGCAGAGCCAGAGCACAGCCCAGAAGGCCGTCTTCATGCGGTTGTGCTGCGAGCACACCAGGCGGATCGCGCCGTGGATGGTGGTGTTGTTGCAGAAGAACTGGAAGAGCTCCCGGTAGGAGTGGTGGAACTCCAGCAGGGGCTCCTCCTCGTCCGTGGACGGCGGGGGGGCCGCAGGTTCGGGGCCCGGCTCAGGCTCCTCATGCTTGTCTCCCTTCATGAGCCCTTGGGTGGGTCGGGGAGGACGAGGGGCAGGACTGAGCCCTGGGCTCTGGGTGCCTCCATTGTCACCTCGGGGCCGCGCCCTCAGCCCACCCTCAGCCCACCTTCTCCCTCTCTTGCCCGCCCCCCTCCCCGGGAGCCCGCTGACCTGCAGCAGTCGGGGGCGAGAAGAGCTGGAGCTTCCCTGGAGTGACCTCCCTGCTTCCCCGATAAGGCCACCTTTTGGGTTCTGTCCTAGAATCTCCCCTTCTGTCTCTACTGCGGTCTCTGCCCTGCTGAGTCAATCCCTTTCTTTGGTCTTCTTCCTCTGGGATCTGTGTCTTAGTTTCTCTCCGTCTCTGTCCCCGTCTCTGCCTCCTGCTTCTCTTTGGGTGTCTCTGGGCTCCCTTGCTTTGCCTGTCTCCTCTCCGTGCACCCGCCTCTCTGATCCTGCCCCCCTTCCTTTCCGCCCCCGCTCCCTCCGGTCTCTGGCCCTGACCTCGGCCCCGAGGACTGCAGGACTCCAAGAGGCCTGGGTGGCCTCCGGTTCCCCACTCCCGGGTTGTGGCTGGACTGGGACTGGTTCCTTTCCAGCTGGATCTGGCAGCCCAGCCTCTCCTCCCCCTCACCTGACAGGTGCAGCCTGCCCTCCCGCCAGGTATGGAAGCGACAGAAGCCTCATTAGCATCTCAATTAAAGGTGAGCCGGGCAGGGGGAGGGGCAGAGGAGGAGTCAGAGCTGAGAGCTCCTCGGTGGGAGGAGGGTGCCTGAGGGCAGGTGACAGGCGCACAGGGACGGGGAAGGCGAGAGGTGGCGGGGAGAAGAGTCAGGGCCTCGGAGTGGCGGGGAGCTGGCCGGCAGGGGGACCAGGAGACAGAACGGCAGGGGAGGGTCAGAGGTCTTGAACCAGGAGAAGGACCCTGAACGCAAAGCCAGGAGGGCAAAGCATGGGAAAAAGGACAAGTTAGGACGAGTGAGACTAAGGTGGGGAGACCAGGAGACCAGGGAAGGCAGGAGAAGGGAGGTGGATGGACCAGGAGAGGGTGAAGGACCGGGAGGGAGGAGAGGCAGAGAAGGGGGGTGAGGAGGAGGGAGCCGGCCCCAAAGCAGCCCCTCCCCTGAAGGAGAGCGGGAAGGCCCCCCTGTGCGGGCTTCCAGGAGCCAGGGCCCCTCCCTGGGGAATCCCTGCAGAGGCACCCCTGCGTCAGCCTCACCCCCAGGCCTTGGAGAGGAAGGAGAAGGCGTGTCTGCAACCTCCCTCCCCGCTCACTGAGGTGGGAACACCTCGCGGCCCCACCTGGCACCAGGCACAGAGCACCCTTCTCCCTGTCCGAGCTGGTCCAGCCTCTTCCCTCATGACTCCTCACCAGCACCCCTACCTTGTCCAGCCCAGGGAGGGGCCCAGGTGGAGCTGGGGGCTGGGCGGGGCCCTGGGGACATTCTGTTCTTTTTTACATCACTGGCTGCCAGGCCAGGAATGTGTAATGTCCCCAGTTGTGGTCACGGGGTTGCAGGAATGTGTGCTCGGAGAAGGGGCCAGGCAGGGCACTTGGGCAGAACCCCGGAGCCCAGGGAGCTCAGGGACAGGGGGCACCGAGGAGACAGGGAGGGATGTGGGCCGTGCAGGGAGATGCGGAGGAAGAGGCCGGGCCTGGCCCAAGGCCGCACCAGCCCTGGAAGGAAGGAAAAGCTCAATGTGGGGCTGTGTTTTTCCTCCAAAGTCTCTGCCCCAAGCAACTGAGCAAGAGAATAGTGAAGTGCCAAGTGAAGAGGGAAGGCAGAGAATGAGGCCTCAGAACAGGGCCCAGGAGGCACAGAGAGCAAACCACACCGCCGGGTGAGAGGTCTGCCACTGTGTCCCTGCAGGAGGCGTCCACCGGCTTCTCCCGCCTGCTGGAGGAGCAGGCCTGGGATGTGCAGGCGCCGGGGGCCCAGCCCGAGCGCTGATGTAGCTGGGTGGGAGAGGGCAGGCCCCGATGGCATAAGACAAGGGTCCTAGCGACAGCTGCGGAGGCCAAGTGCTGAGCGAGCCTGGCGGCGGGGAGGGAGGGAGAGGCACTCACCCAGGGGGGCTCAGGAAGGCTTCCCGGAGAAGAGGGCATCTCTGCTGGGTCTTGCAGAACAAGCGGGCTCAGGGTACAGCCCTGTCTGCGCCCGTCTCCTGTGGCCTCTTAAAGTGAGAGCTGCTGTCGACCAGGATTCCAAACGCGCCCCATTGCTTCCCTGACACGTATAGGGGACAACTCCCCTTGGAAGGGAAAGGCTGGCTTTTTCTTTATTTTCCAGATGAAGAAACTGCCCTCCGCAAAGATAAGCCAGTGTTCTGTGCACACAAAACCTAATAGCAGTAGAGTGAAGGACAGAGCAGAATTGTTCTTCGGCACGGGGATGTCTGCTCAGGGCTTTTGCCGTATACCCCAAGAGAGACCAGCCACAGACTCTTGGGGAACCGGGGCTCCCCTGCACCTGGTTTTGAACACCAGGAAGGTTCACACACTCCCACAGAGAGTCCGTGGATTGACCAGCCATCAGGGTCCTGGATTATCTCCCAGGCTCCTTGAGAAGCTCTCTCTACCGTCCCCGCCTTCCCAAGGGACATCCTACCTACAGGTGCGGTACTCAGCACCCTGCTTGTCCCATCTCAGAGTTTCAGAGAGACACATCCCTGCCTTTCCTATTTGCTGGCTGGTGCCTGAAATCCAACCACTGGCCCAAGGCCTCACTGCAAATAGTTTTCGTCTTCCTCTCAAGGGCTCAGTGAGCAGGATAGAGAGGCCTGGGCTGGGTTGAGCTGGAGAGCGAGCGCTGTGTCCCTGTAGCACCTGCCAGGGTGTGGTAGCTTAGAGACAGCAGCATTCCAGATCTGGAACGGGCCAGAGCAAGCTTGTTGTTGTGAAAAAAGCAGAAATCTGAGACCTGCACTTGTCATGGCTCTGTTTTAAATATTATCTTTTAAGGTGCAGAAAAAAATACCTGAACACGTTTTTTTCACAACACAATTTTCCAACAACATGGAGGTTTACAGGACAATAAAAGCCTCCCTCTGTCCCATTCCTTTCCCACCCCTTGGCCCAGGAGAGCCACTGTCATTTGTGTCCATCTTTTTTGGGTGCTTTTATAGACTTACATGTATTTTTTAAAAACAAGATATATTATAGTTTTTTTCCATAAATGGGACCACGGTCTAGGCATTATTCTATGACTTCCATGTTGGCTTTTAAACTATGTGCCTTAGAAAATGATAGTTTCTCCTGGGAAAAACCACAGTGGAAAAGAACATTAAAAAAAAAAAAGAATGTAAAAAAAACCACAAAATGACACTTTACCACTCTGGGCCACCAGGCTCTCAATGAAAGGGAGGGGGTGGGGTTGTAAGGCAGCCTAGATGGTCACCAAAGCCCTTTCCAGCTGGCTTTGCATCTAGCCCCTTGCTTAATGCATCAGAGAACTGAGGCCCCAGAAACAAAGTGGCTTGCCCACATCACCCTGGGAGTTGGGGGTGGGGCCAGATTGAGAGCTGAGCTTCCCCTTTCCAAGCTCAGTGATGCTCCCTGACTTCCAGAGAAGTGGATGCCTGTTCTGGGGGGCATCGGGGCCTTGTAGGTCTTGTCTTGAAGCTCCCCCAGCCTCTCCCAGAGCCTCAGCCCTTCCTTCCCCCTCCCAGGACTGGCCATCCTCTAACCCTGTGGTTTGGCCATAAACGGTGCAAAGGCTACAGGGAGAGAGGGGAGACTAGAAGGTCTGCAGTGGAATGAGGGTTGTGAGTTCGGAGGGTCTTCCTGCCTCTTGCTCCCCAGGGACAGGAGATGGTGGAAGTGATCGCTTTCTCCCCCATGCTCCAACATGCACTGCTGTACACTCTTATCTCAGTGTGTGCATGTGTGCATGCGTGTATGTGTGTGTTTCCATATGCACGGATCATATTATGAGTTCTCTGAAGACAGGCACTAGGTTTATTACCAGTGGCCCCAGGGTCTAGTGGCCACTCTTTGTTGACTCCCCCATTCTGCAGAAGACAGCAGAATTAGCATCTTGGGCAAGACTCAAGGTATATCTTTGACAGAGAGTGATGTGCTATGAGAAAGTATCCTCAAATCTAAAATTTGACACAAATGAACTTATCTACAAAACAAACTCACAGACATAGAGAACAGACTTGTGGTTGCCAAAGGGTGGTGGTGGGGGAGGGATGGATTGAAGTTTGGGATTAGCAGATGCAAACTAGTATACATAGGATGAATAAACAACGGAGTCCTACTAGAGAGCACAGGGAACTATATTCAATATCCTGTGATAAACCATAATGGAAAAGAATGTGTATATGTGTAAAACTGAATCACTTTGCTGTACAGCAGAAACTAACACAACATTGTAAATCAACTAGACTACATTTTTTTTTCCGTTAACAATTTTAATCAGTTTATTGTCTGAAGCACTATACTAGGTATAACATAGATACAAATTAAATTCTAAAGATTGCTCTTACCCCTTTTGAAGTTTACCTTCAAATGCAAAGGATAAAGCTATTAAGCTACTAAAAAAGGAGTAAATTTGGAGTCACTTGGGCAGGACAAAAAGATTTGTTTCATTATCTAGAAATAGTCGTAAGTCACCATTATAAGTAGAGAAATACAGAACTGATTTTTGGCTGCATTGGATCTTCGTTGCTGCACGCAGGCTTTCTCTAGTTGTGGCGAGCGGGAGCTACTCTTCCTTGCGGTGTGCGGACTTCTCATTGCGGTGGCTTCTCCTGCCGTGGAGCACGGGCTCTAGGCCCGTGGGCTTCAGTAGTTGTGGCTCGCGAACTCCAGAGTGCAGGCTCAGTAGTTGCGGCGCACGGCCTTAGTTGCTCCGCGGTGTGGGGGATCTTCCCAGACTAGGGATCAAATCCATGTCCCCTGCAATGGCAGCCGGATTCTGAACCACTGCGCCACCAGGGAAGTCCCATGAATTTTTTAAAAATTAAAAAAATAAATGAAGATATCCTCAAAACATCCAACATCCTAATTTCCTCTGAGTACCCATTAATTTGTGTTTTGTTAATTTATCTAAATTTCCTTCCCCTTTTCATTTCAGTCTCTATCCTTTCTAGGGTGAAAAGGAGTCACTCAAGTAATTGTAAATTTTTATTCTTACTGCTTAGAGCTAATTAGCCTCTCCACACTGGGCTGCCCACTGTGGAAAACAGTGTCCTTTTACCTGCGCTTATGTAGTATGAATTTCTCTTTCATCGAAAATGATGTTCCAGAAAATCCCTCCCTGCCACTCTTGGTCCAATCCCCCGGCACGATGCCTAGAAGTTCACCATTTGAGGTTTATTCCTTTGGATTAAGGCTGAATTTCTCAACCTTGGCACTACTGACACTTGGATAATTCTTCGTTGCGGCCGTGTCCTGTGCGCTGTACGATGTTTAACAGCATCCCTGGCCTCTACCGACTAGATGCCAATAGTACCCCCTGAATTGTGACAATCAAAAACTCCTCCAAATATTGCCAAATGTCTTCTAGGGGGCAAAATCACCCCAGTTGAGAACGACTGGGCTGAGGGATTGTCCCCAGTGAAAATATTCTGGAGAAGGACAATCCTCATCGATTACAC